GGGGGGGGGGGGGGGGGGGGGTCAGCCGATGATTTCGATGATCCGCAGATTAGCCAACGAGCCGCGCTACTCTAACCGCTCACGCACCTGAAGCCCGAGGATCGTGACAGCGTACAGAGCCCATGCGGTGGCGACGACGGCGAGGTCGGCCATTGGGGTTTTGCCGACTGTCCAGCGGAACGCGTCGGGGCGCCACAGCTGGGACCAGTCCCATGCTGAGAGGTCAGCGTCGAGGGTGAAGGGGGTTGAGCCTGCGGGGCTGCGGGCCCAAGGAGGGAGGAAGGATAGAGACATTTGCGGGGAGGATGGGGGGGGGAGATCCGGGGTGGAAGAATGTCGAAGATGTTCCTTCATCCACCTTTGTGTCAATTGATTGATGAAATGTCGCAATCAATCAGAAGTCAGAGGATCCTTTGGTTGGGGCCGCAATCTGAGCCCATCCTCCGGCTTCCCGCCGCTCGCTTGCCGCTGCTCCGACTCCGCCGAGGATATCGGAGGAGATCAACGTTCATCGCAACCTCCTCCCCTTCAAAGCCAGCTCAAGCTCCAGCCCCCCGTCCTCCTCCAGGTCCAGCTCCCCATCGCCCGCGAAAATGCCCAAAAAGTTCCTAATCCGCGTCCCCGCCTCAACCGCAAATCTCGGTCCCGGTTTCGACGCGCTGGGTGCCGCCCTCTCCCTCCACCTCGTCCTGACCGCAACCCTGACACCAAAAGTCGCAACCACGATCACCTACACGGGCCCGACCCCCTGTTCCACCGTCCCGCTCCACCCCTTCCTGAACATGATCACCCGCACCGCCATCTACCTCGCCACGGCGCACAACACTACTCTCCCGCGGATGGCGCTGCACATCGCCAACCCCATCCCGCTCGGCCGCGGGCTGGGCTCCAGTGGCGCCGCGGTGGTCGGCGGCCTGGTGCTGGCCAACCTCGCTTGCGGGCTCGGGCTCGACAAGGCGCGCCTGCTCGACCACTGCATCGCGTTCGAGGGCCACCCAGACAATGTCGCCGCGTCGCTGTTTGGCGGGGCCGTGGCTGGGCTGATGGTGCGGGATGTGAGGCAGGTGCATGTCGACCTTTGCAAGTGGGAGAGCGATGTGGAGGAGTTGGCGGCGGCGGACGCAGAGGGCGCGGGGCCTGTCCCGCCCGTGCCGGCGCTGGAGGCCGGCCCGATCGGGCTGCACGTGCGCGTCCCGGTGTCGGAGGCGATCCGCTGCGTGGTGGTCGTCCCGCGGTTCGAGCTGTCGACCAAGCTCGCGCGCTCGGTGCTCCCGGAGACGTATTCGCGCCCCGACGTCGTGTTCAACCTGTCGCGCACCGCCGTCCTCGTCGCTGCGCTCGGAGCTGCGACGCCCAACCCGGTTATTATCCGCGAGGCTATGCGCGATCGCGTCCACCAGTATTATCGCAGGTCGCTGGTCCCCGGCATGTCGGATGTGCTGGAGATGGCCGATGTGGAGGGGCTCCTCGGAGTGTGCGTCAGCGGGAGCGGGCCGACGGCTATTGCGTTTGCCACGGCCGGGTTCGAGGAGATTGGAGCGAAGATGAGGACGATTTTTGGGAAGGCCGTTGGGGCAGATGGGGAGGGTATTCAGAGCGAGGCGTTTGCGGTCGACATTGTGGAGGAGGGGGCGACGTGGGTTGAGGAGGATGTATAAGAAATGGAGCGGCTTGCTTCTTCTGACGATAGGCTCCACTGCCGGTGGTTCGCGCCAGGACCCGTAACTGGCGAGGACCATAGTAAATCCCAAACTTTTCGGTGCCTTTTTTCGGAAATTTGGTGCCGATCGAGCACGCACATATAACCGTAATTTTCCCATATATGGTGCGTGGCGCGATTGACATTGGGAGGCTGGGCTTGGGACTAAGCGTGGCTGGGGGTGGCTGGGATGGGGGGAAGGGGTGGCTGAGGGTGGCTGAGGGTGGCTGGGCTTGGCTGGGCTAGGCCGAGACAATTCCCCCGATTTTGCCCGATTTTGCCCCTTTTACGGTGCATCTGGCACTGACATGGCATGCTTGGTGGGCGAATCAGTGCCCAAAAAGCCACTGCCCCCGGACACTTTTCCCTGTTTCTTTTTCGCTGGGCACCATCGTTTTGCCACTGACTTTGACCGTTTTCCCAAATTTTCGGTGACCTTTTGACCACTGACATGGGCCAAAACATGGACCCGAAGTCGGTGCCCAAGTGCCAATAGCCATAGGAGTGAGTGTCCGGGGTCCTTTCGCGCAGCCGAAAGATGCGACCTTTCCTCAGACCTCTGTTCGGAGAAGGTATAGATTTACCATATATAGGGCTTAGGGAGATTACTTTGGCATAGATTTATATATGTGAAGATTAATAGGAAACACCGGTACCACGGCCAGAGCCAAGGACCTGTTCCTGATCACCTCAGGAAGGAAGCACTACGCAAGCAAGCGGAGGGGCGAGAGGCGAGGAGAGCGGCGCGGGAGGTGCACATGGTGAGCTGCAGAAGGGTGCAGAGCTCCGACTCGACTCCATCAAATATCTGCCACAAACACTCACCGCGATCTACTGGAGTCTTTCCTTGCGACCGTGCCTCGCCGCTCCTGCTCCACCCTAGCCTCCTCCGCTCAACTGCCCCAACCGTCGCCCCGCTGAATATGTCCTCCCTGACAACCGCCGCTCCTCAGGTGCGCTTGTCTTGACTGCCTTGCATTTCATCACAGACCGCGTGACTCGGTTCAGGGCGGCTCTCGTGACTGGTCCACTAAACCCACGCCCATCCCCCCTTCTTGGTGTATTTCCATAGGCCGCAGCCGAGGATTTGGGAAGCTATGAAGGTACGGTTAACGGTGGGACAGGTGGGACGGCTTCAGTAGGCGGGGCGTCTCGGAGGCGCCCATCTTGGTGTTTGGCGGGAACCGGACGAACCGCGAACGCGTTCAAGTGACGCACTAGAATGCCAACCGTGCTGTCCTACCCTCTTCTCTTCTCAGCTATCCCAGGGGTGAAGGTGCGAGACTTCGCCTACCCTCCCGGCGACCCCCGCCACCACGGCATCTCCCCAGCCCCAGAAGCCAGCTGCACGACCGAAGGCGACAGCGACGAAGACGCCGAGTACAGCACCGCCGAGCGGCTGTTCGATTCCGATGAGGAGGACGCCGCCGACGCCGCGCGCAACCCGGCGCTGCTCACGGGCACGCTCCTCCCCGCTTTTGCGCGCGTTCTCAACGACGGGCATATGGCGCGCGTGTCGTTCCGCCGCGCGAAGGCTGCGTTCGAGTTTAAGCGCGTCACGGATTGGGAGATGACGATTGTTGAGGGGGAGGAGTTTTTTGTTGCTACGTTGGGCGGGAATGGGGCGGGTAAGGGAGGGACGGCGGAGGGGAGTGGAGATGGCGTGAAAAAGGATGATGTGGCTGGGGAGGCGACGGGAGCCGAGGCGGGCGGGGCGGAAAAGACCGATACCAAGCCCGCTGCGTCGACGGGGGATCTTATCGACAAGGCAAAGCGGACATCGTCGGAGCCCGCAGCAGCATCAGAACCCACACCGCCGGCCGCCTCGGGCCCGATCCCACCCGAAGCACCCACCCTCGCCGCAAAGGCGACAAACCTAGGCGGCGGCCGATGGGCCAGCATCGACGAAATCGAAAGCGACGACGGCGCTCCCAAAACCGCACCATCACCCGCAACCGCCTCCTCCACCTCACCTCTCCCCAAATCCCCGTCCCCACCGCCGCTCCTCCCAACCCTCGACCCCGCCCCTGACGTCTTCGCCGCCCAGCTCCAGCAGTTCCTCGACTACCAGCACGTCTACGGCTCCGGGTGGGTTACCGCCGTCAAGGTCAAATTCCGCGGCCGCATTTCGAAGCTGAAGCAGGCTGCTGATGCGGATGCGCCTCCGAAACGGAAGCCGAAACTCGATATCAGGCTTGTTGATGTCGGACTGGTGCCGGGGAATTATATCGAGATTGGCGAGTAATATGATGGATTCGGCGCTGTTTGTCGTCTCGTGTCGGTTTCGCACTGTTCGTTTGGCTGCTGTGTTCTTCTTTGGTTGAGAGGGGTTTAGTGGAAAGCTTGGAGTGTGCGTGCGTAATTGCCTCGGGCGATGGTGAACTACCTTGAGAAATTATGGGAGCTAAAATGCCGTCAATAATCAATTAGATGTGAAGACACCGTAACGATGCATGGTTGGTTTAGTGGCATAATTACCGCCTGCCACCCCTGGCTGACCGCGGTAAACCCGGGTTCGATTCCCGGACCATGCAATTTCTCTCGCTGGTGTGGGAGACTTAATACTGTTTCGGGGGCTGCGGATGCTTTCCATTCGGCGTTTTCACATTTTTGTCGAGGGTGCGGATCTTCACTAGACATTTTTGGAGCCCCGCTTCCGAACCTGTGTTGTGAGAACGGCCGAAAACAAGAGCGGTGGCGGTCCAGCTCTTGTCGGGGAACGAAAGCCGACATAGTCGGAGAGCGCCGGAATCCACACATCCGTCTGCCTCGGCTTGTCGCGACTCGACTCCCGAAGGAAACCAACCTGGTCGGCGGAACGGCCAGTATGCATCATCGACGAAAGTATCGAAGGCACCCATCATCGATCATCGGATTTATCCTCGACGCTGACTTCCGCCTTGTCTCTCGTCACTCCCATGATCCACACGCTCCAGCGCCAAAGTGGCCGGGGCATCTCACTCCCGAATATGATCCAATGCGAAAGCGAATGATACACTAATCGGGAGAGTATGCGGGGTTGCAAGATGTACGGAAAAGATGTATTTGCGCACGTCCCTTTCCGCCTTTGTTGCCGGACTGGGTTGGAAATAGGGTTGTAGGCGGTCCGGGCTGCCCCGGAGGAGATCCGGTCTGGGTCGCAGGTCCAGGCCTCTTTTGAGGCTTGGCCGGATGCGGTAGACGCACTCGCGTCCAGGAATTCGGTGGTTGGGTGCCATCCTCTTCGACCTCGGTTGACTCGAGTCGATGTTGGCTTGAACCTGACCCCTTTGGCGCACAGATGACCGCTTCAAGGCGTGACCAAGGAATAATCGAAAAGGGCGATTAAAGGTCCCACAAAAGGGCTGTTGGTCAACGAGTCCCCGGGACTCGCACACGGCGCAGTGGCAACCCATCTGATAGTCGCACAGACTACCCATCTTAACGCCAGGCCAAAATGCGACACAACGGAGAAACAGGCCGGCTGTGAATCTCACATCGGTTTCTTCAAAGGTATTTTGCAAAAATGACTAGAGTTTCAATCTTATTGACAGCAATGGCTACGCGCGCATCTTTATTGCAAAAATAGCTAGACCATAGCTATTTCTGCAATCAAGTTCATGCACCTTGTCCGGACGTCCGACCCCAGTTATTTCTGCCAAAAAGTTCTGTTCCCTTGTATCCCCGCTGAGGAGGAGAAGTGTCGTCAGGATGGCAAGGAGGGCAATGGATGTGAGCGGGGCGAAGAAGAGGAGGTGAGCGGGGGGTAGGAAGGCGAGGAGGGAGAGGGAGAGAAGGGAGCTGTGCAGCACCCTCACGCTTCCGCTCCCCCTCTTCGTCCCGGGGGGGGGGGAGGAGAAGGGGGCCGAGGAGGGCGAGGAGGTCGAGGGAGAGACGGGACCTGAGTAGTTCCGTCAGGATCCCGCTCCCCCTCCCCATCCCCGTTCCCCGCGGTGGACTCGCGTGGGGCCGGCTCTCCCCCCTACCCTGCGTCGCCAGACACGGTCGGCGAGGTCATTGCGGGAATGGCAGGACTGGGCAGCTCGGGTGACTTTGTCATGACGAGACCACGCGCGGTGTCCGCCTCCTCCTCCTCGGCCACCGGGTCGACCGCGTCCACCACCTCCTCGGTGGGCCCTTCGGCCCCCTCGCCACCTGGAGCCGGCTCGCGACAGTACCGCGTCGCCCGCAGAACGCAACAGCAAGGCGGGAAGGTCTGGGCCTGCGATCGATGCTATCGGATGAAGACAAAATGTGATTCGGCGCGTCCGGACTGTGCAAGCTGCAGGA